TATGTTCTCCCACACACACATGCTCATATCCATTTCACCATCGTCCCATAGGAACCTGCGGACCCCTCACCCTAGTGTGCGGAACACCACTGATCTATCGTAACAGATCGCCACAGGACACCTTTTAAGCCCTTGGCACCAGGAAAGGAACACGTCCAAAGTAACCCGCAATGTCCTCGCTCACCGCCCTCCTCCCCATCCGTGGGATCTACCTCCAAATGACGCTCTTGGAGTTATTCATGAATGGTTCGAGCTTGCATTCGAATAGCATGCTGATCAATCCGGGAACTTTTACCTGCAGGGCTTTACACCGGGGTGTTCATCGCCACGATTTATTCGTTCGGTATGCAATTACTAACGTTCTTGGAAGCTCCTTCAACTGAAGTTGGCCTGGCAGTGTTCAGGAAGGGGGCAGAGAGAATCAGCCTCCCTATTTGCATGGCCTTCGTCGCGATGTATACCTTCTCCACCGTCCATGCCGCTTCGCGTTGGGTGATGATTAAGAACGCATTCATCGACAACGGGGATACCCCCGAGTCCACTCTCGCGTACCTTCTGGAAAACCCGGTCTGGCTGGTCATAATCCCTGGCATTGCGTTCCCCGCCAATACGCTAGTGGCCGACTGTGTCTTGGTATGCTCCAACTATTCTATTGATCCTTCTTCATGATGCATGTCTGGACAGATCTGGCGGTGCTGGACGGTCTGGAACCAAAACTTAAAAGTAATAATCATACCTACGCTGTGTACCATCGTCGGCGCAGGTGTGTATTCGTTTTTGGCACCCCCGGGGACTCACGGATGATAACTTCTGCAGCGTTTGGATTTCTTAGCGTTGCCAAGGAGGTTCAATTCATTCTCCACCCGAACCTTGATCGAAATGCGTTCAGGACATTTGCGACCGTGTGGTTCATTATGTCTCTGGCAACCACCCTCGTCGCAACGCTGTTCATCGTCTTCCGCATCCTGACCATGACGGAAGGCCGCCTGCGCGGATATGGACGCGTGATAGAGATCGTTGTCGAATCAGCCGCGCTCTATTGCGTCGTGCTCATCATATTTCTACCTTTCCTAATCCGCGGGTCGACTGAAGATGGCTATCCCGAAGCAATTCTAGTGCAGGTGACGGTATGCTATACATCTTGCCTATCCTAGTGTTTTCATAAATATTATCTGTGGCAGGGACTGGCACCAACTTTGATCATCGCCCGGGTCTCGTTCGGCCTGGCACGTCCCGATACTACGTGGAAAGGCTACTCGGGCCTCTCAATCCTATCGCGGAGCTACATCCCTTCGGGTGCGCGTATCGAGTTGTCGTCGCACATCCTGCCGAGTGCCCTCGTGCTTGAGTCGCAGGAGTTCAAAAATGTAGTGGTCTAGAACGGCTTCGGGGAGAGTATGCGGGTGACTGTAGCTTATTGAGTCTATTATAACCATTCCTCGGAGTGACCTCAGCGCAGGAACAGAAGACGCCGACCGTCACAGAGCGGCATGGCCTCCAGCAGTCGGCTAACAATCTCCGGTGGAATCTTGTGATCCACGGGGAAGTCCGGGTGCGTGAGGGTCCGGATACGCATGACCACGACGACACGCTGCAGGCCCGGTAATTTCGCCGCGTCTGCGAGGATCCCATCGGCTTCGCGCAGCCGCATATGCGGGAACTCCCCCGGTCCGCTCCCGTTGACTGCGTATAGTTCAATTGTCTCAAGCGTCGCGGTCGCCGGGGAACTTCGAACGGCTGCTAGGACGCCAAGGAGACAGTCGGCGAGGAGGGTGCCGCTTTTTTCGATGATCAGGGTATGCAGATTCTCCAGGTGCTGCAAATCGGGGGGGATATAAGGGATTTGCGGATCTGTCATAGTGTTCAGTGAGTTTAGAGTCTAGACATCAGCGAGAAATGACGTACATGTCACATCGCATTCCTCGAAGGTCAACGAGTGGATTCCGGCAGCAGCAGCAGGACTGGCCAGATATCGGTTGATCTCGTCCCACTGCTCGGGGAGGTTAATGTAGCGCAGAATTATCGTGGATATCTGTGTCGGCACTGGATCCAGCGAGAGCACCCAATGTGCGAACACCGGATTGGATATGACCAGCGTGCGGAGTTTCGGAGGGAGCGACTGCGTCGCGGGGTACACATCGGCCGTGTACCGAGCAGAACCGCCAACGTATAGCGATTCGAGTAGCGGGAATGCACAGACATGATCGACAAGCGTGGCTATCGGCATATCATTGTGCAAATAGAGCGTGAGATGGACCAGCGAGACTGAAAATATCGGGAGATGCGTGGGCTCGTAGGTCGGACAATTGATGTGCAGGAACCCAGGGCGGATTCCTGACCGAGCGAGAGTGGCAAGGATCCTCTGGACGGGGGTCATTCCCCAGGACCGCTTCCCCAACACCACGGCCGTGACATACGGAACCAGCGTAGAATTGGGCGCGGTGATGATTTTCATGAATTCGGTGACAGCATTTGGCTCGGGGTTCCAGTGAGCGGAGAGGTCAAGCAAGGCGAATAAGTGGTGTCGGCTCCTAGGAAGCCAATCTTTACAGACCAGGCTGCATGCGGCGAGAGTTGGTGGATGACAGCAAGCGGTGTCAATAATGCGCTCAACCAGTTCTATGGGGAGGCACATTTGGAATGAGTAGGAGGAGCGGAGGGGAGCAGAGGGGCGAACAGACGATAACGATAAGAAAGGAAGAGGGATAGGTGCCGGTGATCATCCAACCATCAAATGGTTGAACATCGGGTACGTGCTGCTCTGATCCGGAGGATAAGTTGCATCCGCACAAGACAAGATAAGATAAGATAAGAAACATCAACTGCCCTTATATTATCTGCGGACAAATTGCTGGTACTTTGCGTAGAATCAGAACATAAATTCTTATAGAAACCCCTTCGCAATCCCCCTCACTCCATGGCTTCAAGTACGAGGCTTTTGCACAACCCGGACATCAAACAACTGCCGTGGAAACATTGCGGCTACGAACAGAGCCTGATTCCCTGATTCAGAGTCGACCTATGCCTCTGTGACGGCTCACAGGCTCTCTGAAATTATGTTCCTCGGATCAAGACTAACTCCGGAACATATGTTTCTGTCGCATGGAACGGCGGCATGGACCATTCCGCGGTGATTGTCCGAATTTGGCAAGAGAGAGAGTGATGGGGAGAGTGAAATTTTTGTGCAAAAGGGACGAAAGCTTTTGAGACGGAGAGATGGGCCGTATACACGGACACCACAACGTTCTGAACAGCTCACTTTGGCTTACGGCCCTCTAGTTCCCATGCCTGCCACCCGATCTCGTTGGCCACTTGACAACCACCACTCAATAGAACTGAATACGGACCGCAGTAGTATAGAGTAACATCTCGGTTGCCAGGGGAAATGACACAGAGATATCAGACGGCCCGGGCATGATGTACCGCCCACGGGGATCCATGACCGCTCGCACCGCCTTGGACGAGAGGCGTTGACGCGATCCAAGGGAGATGCCACGGAAATCCCTCCCATAAATATGCCGGTGCCGCACTCTCAAGGGCAAGTCTTACCCACTCTCAGGTCCTGTCCCCCACTTTCCTTACTTCCCCATTCCCTACACGATGCGTTACGGTCTGCTCTCCACCTGCCTCGCTGCAGCGCTCGTCCACCTCGCCGCATCCGCGTCCCTCCCCGCCACCGCCGCGCTGGAGGCCCGCGTTACGCCCAACACACAGGATTGCGTGCAGTATGAGAAGTACATCGGGATATACGACACTACTTTCTCGTACAGCCCGGCGTGCGCGAGCGTCGTGCGTGCCTCTCCTCTGCTGATTCCACCGGGGATAAACTCATAGTATTGGCAGACCTCTGCGTGTCTCAAGGAGAACGGCACGAGCATCTGGAGCCACCCGGCCTGTGTCGCGGCCGCCACTTGCCAGGGCGTCAGTCCTTATTTGTCTTCCTTTGCCCACAGAGGACTGACCCTTCGACTGATCAGACTACGAGCGTGATCACTCTCAACCAGTGCCAGAACCATAACGTCCTCGTCAGCTCGGCGATTCCCAATATGGCCGCCGCCGTCCGTCTTCCCCCGCTCCTCTCACCCGTAACGCTTATGTTGCATTGTAGATCTACGGTAACATCGTGGGCGATTGCGCGTCCTCCGGCTGCCCCATTACTCAGCAAAACTACATCGACTTCATCTACGGCGCCATGTCCGCTGCCGGGGTCACCACCTGGCCCAAGTACGTTTATTCCAAAACGTTCACTGCTCGTACTGATACTAGTCAACCCGCGCAGCAGCGTCGACGACGTCGTGACTGACTGGTGGAACCCTATCGTCAAGTGGGCCGCGACCGGGGACAGCATCCCCTACGGCAACTTTAACGACTGGCTGCACTGGTCTAACTCATAATCGACGCGCGCTCCGACTCACTCGGATGGGGTTATGAATGGACTTACTACGCTCTTTATTTCGGACATTTTAATTGTACATTTCCGATCGATGAGAATCAGAAGCTCGATTAAGGTGTAAAAGGCGCGCGGGTACGGGGCGCAGTCGATTCCGGAGAACCGACACTTTGAATCAAAGTTTCCGGCCAGGAAATACGCAGACCTCGGAGACGATCGACATGTGCGGCACATTTCTACGGACGGAGTCGCAATTTCACGATAGGAAGAAAATGGTTCAATTTGGTAGCCGAGTGTCTTGAAGCTGGCGGGAAGCGTGGGTGTGGATGCTCGAAAAGGAATCCTCGCGGCGAGAATGCGGTATTGCGCCAGACACTGCGTCTGCTTCCATCCTCTCTTCCAGGTTCTTGTGCAGCTTTTTTGGACCACGTCTCGGGGCTTGAGTTTGAAAGGGCCAGGCGGACGCGTCCTTCAACGGTTTGCTTCTATGCCGTGCAGTGGTTCCCTGTGCATCACGTCCGCTCATTCTCGCCCATCCTCAGTAATTACTTCCGGGCTCTTGCGCTCCTCTTAATGAGTCGGAAAAATAATGATATATGTTTTGGAACCATGCGGACGCGGGGAGTCGAGCCCCGTCCAACTGCAGGGATGTGAGCATCTCTTTATCACTAGACTTTAACTTCTCTTCTATGCAGCGCAGTGGTGCACCATACACCACGTCCGCTTTCCTCCCCCCTTCTATCCCTCATACATTCAAGAGTTTTTCATAGTCTTGCGGCAAGACCTGGAAGTGCTCCGTCAAAAAGCATATCTTGACGGACGCGGGGAGTCGAACCCCGTCCGACCGCAGATATAGAGATCATGGTAGTTCCCCTCCATGCAATGCAGCAGTGCACCATACACCACGTCCGCTTCCTCGCCCTACTCCTCTGCTAAATATCCACCGGGTTTTTGAAGCACGCGTCGAATTGTGTCAGAAAAAAGGACCTTGGTGGCATGGCATGCGGAGACGCGGAGTCGAACCCCACCTTGCTGCTCCTAATTGTCTCCATCGGCGGTGATACTCCGTGCACCAGGTCCGCTTCCTCCCTCTATTCCTGGGCTGAATATACGCAGCCTATATAAGGCTGAATGTCTGTGGGTCCAGAGAGTTTGGAACGGGGGCGGAGTCTCGAAGAATAACGCGGGGTGGAGAGAGATGTGGCCGGCCCTTAGTTGAAGTTGGGGCAGACGTGCGGCGGATCGTCAAACAAATAAAGAAAGATTACAATTTTAGGGATCGATACACAAGGAACATTCCGTGAGGCCGGAGCCTAAATTCTGCGAGGGCTACCGGCGTCCTTTCGCCTTCTTCACGTCCTGCACGGCTTTGCACATCTACAACAGCCCGTTAGCGCCCAACCTAGCGAAATGAAAGGGAAATGGAATACGGCGCGGCGTCACCTTTTTATGCCGTGGCCAATCGGCGCGCTGGCACGACACCCTAGGAGGAATCAGAATATGTCGGACGGACGAAGCTTGCACGTTACCTGCAATATCTAGCACCCACACCAGACTCAGCACCGTTACGCACGAACATCGCCACAGCGCACCTAGTAAGCCCGCACGCCGCGCACTTGTTCATCTCAGTCGCCCCGGCGGTCTCATCTTCACGGCACCCCGCACAGCTGCCCGACAGCGCGCCGACGAAGCCCTTAGGGCGCAACTCGAGCGGGGCGTTGAGAAGCAGTGGTGCCGGGGGCGGGGACATGAAGTGTGGCGGAGGTTGTTGGAGGACCATGACGCGGACGTCGCGCGCACGCATAAGCTGCATGCAGGGGGATGAGGCGGCGCAGAGGGCGAAGCTCTGCAATGCGATTAAACTCGATCGACAAATTAGTCCGAGGCGAGTACGCACCCAAACAACCATAGCGGGCTCAGGGACGGGTGTCCAGTGAATTACGTTCCAGAATGTTTCGCGCGAGGGCTCACCTGCAATACACGATGCATCTCCGCGCTCAGCCGCTTTAAATCACGAGGAAAAGACGTTGTGGCGTACCGCAGCCCTCGCACCTAAAGCCCCGCGTGTGCTTGAGGTCATCGGCGATGTCGAGCATGAAGCGCGCCGTCCACTCGTGCATGCCCGGCGTGCTCTCGCCGACGCCCGGTGGCATGGGGATGCGGATGGTGATTTCGGAGCGGCGCTCGTTTCTGTGATGGAGGCAAGGGAATTTGAGCAAATTGGATCTTGAAAAGGATCAAGGGCAAATCAAGGGGGCGCACCGTCCATGCATCCAGATGGTCACCTTGAGGCCGAGACCAGACATGGTGGAGGACAGGGTTTCGAGGGAAGATTGTTCCATCGATGCAATGGCAGTGTGGGAGAGTGATCCCGTGATGTGACCTAACGCGGCGACGGTGCGTGCCACTGCGTCGCGTCCAAGCTGGCAAACGGTCAACCTCAACCAACTTACCCCTCAATTATAGGACTTCTAAATATGGTAAGGCTACTGAACTCTGCTTCTTTTGAATCCACTAGTATTCGACCCCAGGATTTTTGGATATAATATGAGTTAGTTGAACTCTGCTTTTTTTAACTCGACTAGTATCCTCCGCTGAGATTCAAACGATTAAATCAAAAGCATCTCACAGTAAGTTTTAATCTCAACGGAGCTTCTCGCTCTCGTAGAAAGTATGATCCAAAACGTACCATTAAAATGTCCGGAATACCAATAACACGGTCCTAGCCTGAAGTGGATCAGTGCGGGTCGATTATGAGCTAAAAAAATCGCTAAATGGACTGCTCAAGTGAGACTATGAACCGCCTATTAATCACTTGTGCCACATCCGCAGGGGCTACTTGGGGGCTACACATCAAACCTCAACATGTATGAACGGCACCCAGTGGGGAAAAAAACTCAAACGATCAACCTCAACCAGCCTAATCCAAGTCCAAACATATCGTCGGGCTCATTTTCTTTCACACACAGAGAAGGCTTGACATCGCGCAACAGGTCATTCTACGTTTCTGGAGGTTCAACCCGGGAATTCCAACATTGCCGTTCGTCCTTCCCTGAGTTGTATTTGCGATTTAGTTCGTCGTTTTTTCAAGTCAAATGAGTGTGTCTAGTAGTGTCCATGCCTAATCCCTCTATCCCATGTGAATTACCGTAATGTCCATAAATGTAGAAATCAAGCTCAGGCATAGCTGGGAGTCCCATCCTGCTTGCGCAGCTCCAGCGCCTCCCCTTGCGGTGGGCTATTCAAGAACCGCGGGGGCCACACCGCACAATAAAGAGACATGGCCATCCACAGCGGCAGCGAGTCGAAGCAGTAGAAGAAAACCTCATGCGTCGAGACGTACCCGCCATACCTGTGGCTCCAGGTCAGTGAATTACCGGAAGGATCTCATGGTGCGTACCCTTGGATAAACTGCACCAGGCGATAAATAGACCGGACCTGTCAGCGATTCGGGCGGTTAGGGATGCATGGTAGGTGATGCGAGACGGGTGGACAGACCAAGATGGCGACGCAAGTGACGCAGAGCGTGAAATATAGAATGCGCCAATCGCCGACCTCCCCGCCAGCCACCGTGAAAGCTTTACCCTGCTGGCCACGCCACACGTGCGGGAATCGTGTTCTCCTGCGAGTGAAGCGTCAGGCGGACAATAATATAATTCAATGGAGACCGACGTACACGCGGGAGCCGAACACGAGCATGAGGACCATGAACAACGCGAAGGACACGAGCTGCAGCGCTAGCCCAATCAGCGCAATCTAACGCACATTGGTTATCCGTGGTGTGGGAATTGCGCGAGCGACGCACCTTGTTCCCGAGATGCACCGAGTTGATGTTGCTGCTGGTCGTCATAGAGCCTCCGAGGGCTTGTACGAGAAACGTGCCCACATCGCTCCAGACAAAGATCGTCGCGACGCGCGTGGGGGCGATGAACATGGCCTTGTTCGATATGTCTGGCCCGAACATCACCGCTAAGCGCCCGAGGATCATGTAGTCCAACCCTAGAAATAAACATGGCTAGGAGGGTGTCAGGCAGCTGGCAGTTTCAGGGAAGGATGCAACCAACAGAGAGTAGTATCAACTATGGGAAAAGATGATGAGACATTCAACTGATGATCGGAGTATAAAAACGCTCACCAAGGTCGAGACTATGTTCAGACCAAGCGATGTTGGGTTGTGCGAGACGAGGATCCGTACGACGAAACCAACGGCCATTGCTTCCCGTGCTACGTCAACTCCTAGCCGGTGAGAAACACGAGCAACACACCTGTCATGCCAAGTGTAAGCGCTAGCATGAAGGGCTGCCGCCCAAATCTGAAGAACTCTGCGCCGCCCAATGTTAGGACTCAGGGAAAACCGGATCTGAAATAAGACTCACGTATCCAGTGGACAAGGGCAGACAATCCGAAAAGTATCAGTGCTATGACGGCTGGTGTTACGGCGGGTACAGAGAGCGAACTGCAAGTCGCAGGGCGTCATCGAGGATATTCAGCTTGCACACAGCTCACTCACTGGGTCTTCCCATCGGCAGCGAGGACCGAAGACAGAGACGTTAGAAAAAACAGTGCACAGAGAACGGGGGAAGTCATTATGGGGATCAGTCATCGATTGGCCGCGCTATATAGCTCAGGGACATCAAGCCGCAGCGTCAGGTTGTGTCATCGGTAAAAAACTGCGGGACCTGAGACGTATGATCGGCAACCTTCGACAACGTCCAATGTATTCCCACCGGTGTCCGTCGTCTAAGACTCTAACGTAGATCAACGTCATGGCTTATGATCCGACGGGACTGCGCCGCTACAGATTCCCTTCTCTGGGTGGCGAGTCAATCGCCGGCAGAATATTGTGAGGAAAGAGGTGGTGGAGGTTCTGGAACGTACCGTACGCACCGCTGATCAGTGACGGAAAGGTCAATTCTTTCCCCGAACATGGATCTACTCTCTGGATTTCGGACGTTTCGTCCGCTATTTTCATCGGCTGTTCGATAGATTTATATTGGCCTGACTGACGGTTGAGCTGATGGCTCTCCCGCACACTGCCGCACACTGCCGCAACCGAATGGTAGACAATGGTTCGTGTGTATCAAGGTGAAGTATATGATCCTTTTAACCCGAATGCCATCCTTTCTGGTATTCAACCCATTAAATGGAAAGCATCTTTGCCGTGTGCCAACTGAGCTTCCTCGCGAGCGCATAATCTCATCAAAATGTACCATTAAAATGTCCCACGAATAAGTGGAGAGTAAGTACTAATAAGTCCGTCCGCTCACAACTCAATCACTGCACGATTACTAGCTCGAAAAGTGCAGCCAATCGTCAAAGTTGGCGTAGGGGATGCTGCCGCCAGTCGCTGCCCACTGCACAATCGGGTTCCACCAGTTATCGACGACGTAGTCGACGCTACTGCGCGGGTTCACGGATATCAGTACGAGCAAACAGGTTGAGATACAAACGCACGTGGGGAAGGCGGTGACCCCGGCAGCAGACATCTGGCCGTAGACGAAGTCGATGTAGTTCTGTTGGGTGATCGGGCAGCCCGAAGGCGCGCAGGTGCCCACCATGTTGCCGTAGATCTACCCGCATTAACGTGCATAAGTATTGGAACAATGAGCAGGGGGAGGGCTAGACTGACGGAAGCGGCCATGTCGGGGATCGACGCGCTCGCCAGGACATTATGGTTCTGGCACTGGTTGAGCGTGATCACGCTCGCTGTCTGCTCAATATGGTCAGGGTCGGCGAACGAAATTAAATCATGGGTACTGACGCCCTGGCAGGTGGCCGCCGCGACGCAGGCTGGGAGGCTCCAGATGCTTGTTCCGTTCGCCTTGAGGCACGCGTTGGTCTACAACAATTAACCGAGGTCATTGATATGGCGCTGACAGTGTGGAGAGGAAGCACGCACGACGTCCGCGCAC